GCATGCCATCGGAAAGCGTTGGTGTACCAATTATTTGAGGTTCACTTATTTCACCTTCGGGTAACTTTGGGCGAGTCTTCGATCGTATCTTGCTCCAGCGCGCTTGCATCTGGGATACCAGGCTCCTCCCTACATTTTCTCTCTTCCTTTGTCGGCTACGTTCATCTCGGTGGGGCGCTGACGCATACCCATAGCAGCCGCTGCTAGCTGGGCTTTCTGGCCTCTATAGTTAGGGAGGTCTGATTCTATTGTTTCATTTTTGCGACCAAAAGGACGCATTTGTTTACGCAGCTTTGTGGTTGTTACGAGCAGGAGATGGTGTCGGACATTGGGCAGGGTATGGAACGGTGCAACTACGACATTGTCGCATAAGAACACTGGCTGAAGAGTTGGCAGGAGAAGAGAGTGTATAGCTGACTCCTCTCCGATATTCGTAGACATGGACACAGCGGCTATTATCCTAAGCTTGGCTGCGCCGCCCGGCGAACTGATGACGAAAACCCATAATGAAATGTATATTCTCAATTCTCAACTCATTTGCTGTACGCAATCATCTTTGTGCGCATTGCTAGGAAACGGATCCATCGTCGTCAGCACGTTTTATTCACAGAAGATGACCATCGGCAAACGCCGACGCCCTTATCATGGTCACGAGTTGCTTCCGTAAAAGTGGTCCTCGTAGCACATAACTACCTAATTCGGGCCAGTGCAAGCGGTGTAGTGCCGCGCTAAACCCCACTTGCCTGACAACACCTACTCCTCGACATAAGGCATACCTACAAACTTCTCTTCATCCTTAAGCAACACAAACATGGACGACAAAGTCAAATATCTACTTTCCCTCTCGGCGGTGCGAGAGCGTGCTAAGATTGTAGGAGAGGCTGCCGAGGCAGGCAAGCTGAGTCACTTTGATGTGCATGAGGAGCGTCTGGGCGAAGCAGCGGATTATGTGACTTCTGTCATCAAGGTTTGTTCTACCTTTTCATTCAATATCATGGTATGAAAGTGCTGACTTGAAACCCACAAGCGCGACTTTGGCCCCGACAAATTCCACACCATTCCACCTCACGGGCGCTGGCAGCACTTTGAAGTTGGCGGAGTTCCCCGCATTGCCGACCTCCTCGATGAGTGGAAAAAGAATGGGTGCGACGAACTCGAAATTACGCGTCGGCTGATCGATCTCTTCTTTGTTTCGGTATTGCTGGATGCTGGCGCTGGGGATCGTTGGCGATATGTGGAGCCAGGAGCGGGAAAGGAGTATGAGAGGAGTGAGGGCATTGCAGTAGCGAGTTTGTATATGTTTAAGAGCTTGGGTTTTGCTGCGAAGAAGGATGGGGGGCCGATTGTTGACGGTAAGTATTGGTGTTCATGCTGGCGTGGTTGAACGAGATGACTGACTGAGCTGCGTATAGGAAAGGGACTCCAGGACCTCAAGACAGAGGCCCTCGCAGAAGGCTTCCAAATCTCATCCAGCAACCCCATGCTAGGCGTCGACTCCCGAGCCAACCTCCTCCGCAGTCTAGGAAAATCTCTCCTTTCCCAACCCGACATCTTCGGCGACCAAGGCCGTCCCGGAAACGTCGTCGGTACTTCTACCACCCTCTCCACCACTAAATCAACTACTAACTACCCATCACAGACTACATGGAAACCACCACCTCCGATCCCTCAACCCTCGACATCCTAACCTTCTGGGACGTCCTCCAAAACCTACTAATCCCCATCTGGCCGCGAGACCGCACCGTGGTAAACGGACAAGCCCTCGGCGACGCATGGTCCCTATCCACACTGAAGACGCAATCTAAAGATGCCAATGCAGACGAGAGCACGTTCATCCAGCCCTTCCACAAACTAACCCAATGGCTCGCCTACTCCCTCACTGTCCCATTTACACGTATCTTATCACTGTCCTGGAAAAACATGTCCTCTATGACCGCCCTCCCCGAATACCGCAACGGTGGTCTCTTCGTCGATCTAGGTGTTTTGACACTGAAACCTGCGTCTTTGGAGCGCGGTCTTAAAGCTACGTCTGATGGAAGTGGACTTCCATCTTTCGCGGCGGGCGATGATGCTATTGTGGAGTGGCGGGCTATGACGCTCGTTTTGGTGGATAAACTGTATCAGTTAGTGCTGGAGAGGATGCAGGGGGTTGAGTTGAGTATGGCGCAGTTGCTTGAGGCAGGAACGTGGAAGGCGGGGAGGGAAGTGGCGAAGGAGAAGAGGCCTCAGACGAAGAGTAGTCCGATTGTCATTCTGAGTGATGGGACTGTTTTCTGAGCTGAGAGATTTAGCAAGATAAAGCCATGGCTTGATAGAACGATCGGAAGCAGTCAAAGGTCGTTGTTAGAACAATCGTCGTGCCTGATTAGAAGAAAATCACATTCCTCCGAAGAATCCTCCCTCCTCTTTTCTCCCTCGGACTTCTTTCATCTCAACAGCCCGCCCATTTCTCCCGTCTACTTCTTCATCAATCGCATCCAACACACCTAATCTTTGTATCACATCGCCCGCTTTCCCTTCCCTTTTCCTCTCCCCAGACAACTCTTGATCCGAAACATCTCTCTTCGCGTGCATATCTTGCAACCCCCAATCCCTCGGCGCCATCCAACCCTGCCGTTGAGTCTCACGTCCACCACTACCACCCTTCCACATTTCTCCCAACACCGGCGACTCCGGCCCTGCACTATCCAACTCGCTCCTTAGATCATCGCCTGGGAGTTCAGATGGCCCCCGAACATCTCCGTACATGGAATTACGAACTTTTGTCAGCGCTGATGCGGGGAAGGATGTTGAGATAGTCGTGAGTGGTAATTCTTGGGGTGGCGGTTGCCAGATATGCGGGTAGGTTCGGTGTTGGTGGTCGTAGTGAGTGGGGGTTTCAACGGGATAGTTTGGATCGCGGGGTGCATATGCTGCGAAATTCGTGTCTTGGGAGTAGACGGAGGAAGGAGGGTGGTGGCCGAGTGGGGATAAGGGGCTGTAGATGGTATTGTCGGGGCCTGGAGTGGGTGGGGTGTAGGACGGTGGTGCTATTTCTCATGGGTTAGTGAGATAGCTCACTGAGGTTTGTTGAAGGGATTGATTCGGGTGAACTTACAATCGGTCACCTCTGGCTGCCGATTCTCTGCCATGACGCATATTGGGAGGATATCCAGACTTTGCTCTGCTCCATCTCCGTTGTCACGGGGTTTGCCTTTCTTTCTCCTGGAAAATAGGAACCAGATTACGAATCCGGCAATTATGGCGAGTGCGAAGGTGCCTCCTGCTGCGCCTCCCGCTATAGCCGCGACGGGTATTTTCTCTTCGGTTGCAGCGGGGGCAGTATTTGATGGGGATGTGGTGCTCGATGTTGATGTAGCGGACATCGTGGCTACGTTCGCCACTGTGACTGAAGCGTAAATGCTGGAGATGAATGTCGGTGATGGGCTCGAGTCTGTTTTCAAACCACCAGTCGCATGATAGGCGCTGAGCAAGTCCTCGAGGTTGAGGATTGCCGGTTCAAGATCACCATCTGGACAACCGGACTGCGCGCATGCATTCGTTTTACAACATCCCCAGAACGTTTCTACACCATGTTAACATGGCGTTCAAACAATGCATTTCGTTCGCTAGTTGGCTGAAGGATCTTCGACAGACCCAAAGCTTAACGATGCTTCTTGACTTACTGCCAGCGGCGCAAGTGTAGAATTTGCTCCCAGTCCCACACGTAGCGTCCGGGAAATCTCCATATGATGTTGGATCAAAGGCACCGGGGTACAAGTTTCCTTGTGCACAAGTGATGTCGCATGGATCTCTTGCGCAGCAGCCAACGAAGAAACTGGAACTGTGTTAGCTCCTGGAAGCATGACAGGTAAACTTTTCAACTTACGTTCCGTAGCCGCACGACCACCATGTACCTCCAGCAGGACAGGAAGGCGAGAAGACTTGTCGCTCAAAAAGGCTAGCCGGCATAGTTTGGGACGACGAGGCTGAGGTCTGTCTAGTAGATCTGAAAAGCGAATACAGCCAACAAACAACAAGATCAGTGAACTTCAAACCACGAATCTAACAGTCGATAGTAAAGACCACCAGGAAATTGCGTTCCAACCTGATCCGGACCCCAAGAGCACATACTTCGACCCAAACGCCGCCCTGCGGCTCAGCCATGATTCTAGTAAGATGCTACTCTTAGCCGAACTTCTCACCCGCCACATCTTTTTCTGTAGTATTCAGGGCGAAGATACCCAGAATACGTGCATATGCAGTCATGTAATAGGGGCCGGTATTGCTCGGGTGTTATCTGTGAGTAAGAAATCTGACGTTGTTCATACGTATGTACTTTGGTACTGCCTGCTGTGCCAGATACTCGGCCGCTGCGACGGCGCGCCATGCTGACGGATGGGGAGAAGGAACGCTCGCAGAATTCGAGATGGGCAGATGTTGGGGCTGGTATTCATATTGGAAGGTGTGAGGTGGCGTGAGGGGTCGTCAGGTTAAGTCGGTGGCTGCCGCGTGGTTGCCGCGTGGTCGCATGCGCGCATGGAGGAGATGCATGGAGGAATTCAAGGTTTAGGCCCCGGGAGGAAGCTTGTGGGTTGCACATTTGCACAGGACACACTATCACGTTTCGTGATAATCGCGGGGTAGTAAAATGAAGGAAAATGCTCAAACAGTTGCTGAACGCCTGGTTACAAGAGACCTCGGGACGCAGAAGAAGGCGGTCTTGGTGTTCTAAATGTGGCACGGGGGAGCTGCACGTCGGATTAGGTAAGAGTAAGCCCCGAAGCAGCCTTGTGTGAAGAAAGGAGATGCGCAATCTCAATACACACCAACCTCGGTTCACTGCGTTTTCAACATCGTTATTGTTAGATGGTATATATACATTTCGTGGGCAAGAATGGGTATGATACGCGAGTACAGATTACAACGGGACCTCCCAATTACAACAACATAAAGCGAATGCACATCATCTTCCCTCTGATGAGGATATCTTCGCGCGACTAAATCCTCGACGAAGATGGTCACTCGGTCATTACGCCCAGCCCTTGAGCTCGGCTGGCGCGCTTCGTCCTGTCGCTGGAGAACTCGCCTTGCACCGGCATAGGTGAAATCTGCGGTGACTCCAGCTCAGAAGTACCAGACCGTGCCTCGGCAGGAAGCTCAGAGAATCGCCGAGTGTCCACACCATCCGATGCACCGGCGGGAAGTTCGGAGTATCGGTTGGACGTAGAGACCTCTGCCGGGAGCTCTTGGGGTTCGCTCGCATGGCTGGCGTATTGGACGTATGATTGCTGGCCCTTTGTTGGGTAATTCTGTTGGTAAGGGTCTTGAACAGGAGAGGTATATGTAGGAGGTGCTATCGGGAATGTCAGCATACTATAAGATGGATCAACGAGGAGAACGTACGCGATTGGCCGTCGAAATGTGATGAGTGCCCGTTGTGGTCATGCTTCTCGTTGTTCATCATTGGGACCATGGCTGCTGCGCCCATTTCGCCTTCGGTAGACTTCTTGTTGCGTCTTTTACGGAGGATGAAGAAGGCGATCAGCCCAATGATGGCAAGAGCGGCGACGCCTCCAACAACTCCACCGGCAATGGCGCCAGTGTTACTCTTCGAGGGGCTTCCAGTTGATGTTTCGCTTGGGGTTGGGCTCGGGACATCTGAAGCATAGAAGCTGAATTCACCTGGCTGACCCATGAAGGCGGGTGTTAGGTCTCCCGAGGCGCATGTACCCGGTGGGGTCGCTGCGCATGGATTTGTCTTGCAGCATCCCCAGAAAGAGTCTCCTGCGTTGCATGTAAAGAAATTGCTGCCTTGTGCACAAGAAGCGCCTGGCCATTCGCCGTAATGTGAGATGTTGTAGCCACCGGCACGGATGTTTCCTTGCTGGCAGCCGTTGACACAAGGATCAGCTGCGCAGCATCCGACAAATTTGCTTCCAGTAGAACAGGCATACCTATAGCTCGTCAGTATCTGTGCCGCTCCGATCTTCTGGGATTGGCCTTACCATTTGCCTCCGCTCGGGCAATGAAAGTCGTAGAAAGACGAGTTAGACATGCTGAATATGAATGAAGTCCTTGGATATGTTTGTCAAAGGGAAGTGTATTATTGCAAACTCAACGGCGCAAAAGCAAAGATGAGATCAAGCAAGAGTAAACGCAGCCGACATTAGAAAGAAGACAGTGGAGATCGCAAAGAACGGGGCAAAGAGCAGCTACTTCAGCGATGAACAGCACACGGACTCCGACAAACATGTATCTCCATGTCTCCAAGCACGCACATGGAACGCCTGAACGAGGCGTTACCTGATCGGTGACACCGCAGGAAGACACCGCATACAACACCCACCAATCGAACACAGCGCGTGATCGAATGGGGTATGGTAGACCCTCTGCCCTATGGTGGCTTGCTATGTGTGATGTATTTTGGTGGCATGTCAGAAGCTTGTTCATACTTCGCGTTAGCAGCTGAAGGGAAGTAAGCGAAGGATTGACGAGCCTAGAGCCCGACCCGTACCCCGTGGCAGGGATCGATCTGAGCGCCAGAGCCTCAGCACAGCATTTTCCCATCGCGGGAGGAACGGTGTGTATGACGGTAAGTACACGCGATGCTATGATGGCCTTTACCACACCTGCTACAAGACATGACGAAACATAAGCTCATTGTCTTCCATCTCTTGAGACACTCGATCAAATGACCATCAGTAAATTTCAGGCCCACATAAGGCGGCGGAGCTGAGTTGCAATCGCAAAATCATCCCCTTTTGGTGGCGTCTTTAATCGAAATGACAACCAGGCCGCGCCTAGGGCATGGGGCCGTTTCTCAACCGCAGCCCGCGGCGACCCCACAAGATGTCAGCAGGAGCCAACGTTGCCCCGAGAGGTTTCTGAAGTCTGACCGGGGACTGAGAAGTCGTCTCCGCAGATACGGACTCGCGACATGATGCGACAAGACCTGTATTCGCCGAGCTGGAAAGACGAGCGACCGCTCGGGTACCCCAGCCGTAAAGAGTTCGCTTGGCGGGTTCGATCCGCTCCCGACGGCTGAGGTTGATGAAAGTTTGTGTTGGTACTCCAGATGGCGCGGGCATCAGGTAGAGACAATATTACGTAGTTGGAACATCTAAGTCCAGACTGATATCCGTGTGGAACCTCAGCAGTGAACAGCGCACTACGCTTGCCGAAACAGGTTAGGGAGCCAAGCTTGGAGTCGTGGTAGACACATCAGTCCAGGCTGATTGTGTTATCAGAGTTGTTCAAGAGCAGGCAGTACCTTTGATGCTACGGCTTGCTATGAGCAAGTAAAACGTATCATCGTGGCTACCTACGACCAGCGCAGCGCGTTCTGTCCAAGTGGATGCGGTCGGCAGCGTCAAATCAACACCTTTGTATCGAAGCATGCTTTCGCGCAACGAGCCAGCTACAAGCTTTATAAGATTGCTGAGGTCCGCTACGATTGAGGCGTTGTGATTGCTGAAGACTAGGGTTGAATGGCTGGGATGGTAAGTGAAAAGGGCGGGCAGGATCATTAAAGAAGAAAGTCAACGCAACAAATTGTCGCAAGATACTCAAAGGTAATAAATGTAGCTAAGAGATGTTGCTTGATGTGTACCAGGAACCATGATGGAATTCGCCGTGGGGATGTCGCGTTGAAATGGACGTGTCGCGCGCACGAGCCTCCCGGTCTCCTCTGAGGCTGGCGGCTGGCGCTAGTACATCATCGTCGCGGGGAAGCATGGAAGCTATCTCGAGTGACAACACAGCAAGCATACCGCAACAAGATCCGGCGAATGATATGTGGTAGACGCGAGAAACTTGTTCATTCCCGGTTCCAACGAGTACCTGATACATGCGTCGCGCCAGTGTGATCCCAGCCGTGATGAGACCAGCCTCCGCATATTCGGGTGGTTGGTAGACAGTTGCACGCACCCGCCATCTCGAGTAGAAAACTTATCCACCCCCATCGCCAAAATATCTTCATAATGCTACATTCCTGAACAGCTCCACTTGATTAGTGTACCGAAGAAGATATGAGTGTGGAGCCTGAATTCCAACTCAAGCAAACCAACGGTAGGTGAGCTGCACCAGCCATCCCAGACACGCATCATGCTGACAGAGGTGCCAGTCTCGCAGCCTCAACTATCCCACCAAACCTCACAGCAGAGCGTTGCTGCTTCCCTCGCTGCTTCTGAGGGCTACTACAGCGCGTCAGAGCACGCGTCTAGTTCGAGCGACGAGCGCAGGCCTCTCTACCAGACACCGCCTTCCTCCCGCACACCGGCACAGAGTCATGAGCAGTTGGTGCCACACACTGACATCCCGATAACGTCTCTGCGAGGTGTTGGTGTCCCAAGACAGCAGCCTCAGCCTTCCTTCACACACGAACGCCCTCAATCGCCTGCTGTGTCTACCATCGCAGAGGAGTCGAGACCAGACACGCGAGACGCGAGGCGCTCTCAATCATACAACATGGACGCCGAATCCCAGGTGACCACACCCGGCCAGGATACCACACCCTACATTCGATTCGCCATCGACCAACTCACACGAGACGAAGAGGTCCGAGGATCGAGGATATACCCAGAAGTCCGACCCGAGGACGACGAAGATGACTACCCCGTTGACAGGATTGTCCACGACAATGGCCTGGGATACATGGCGCAGGAGCAACGGACACAGCAGAGGATGTCACAGCAAATACCACGGAAACCCTTGAGGAATTCGTCGACACCGCTTGCGAAAGCTCCAGCACCCATGGCCACCACACAGCCTTACGACCCACATCAGCCAACCCGACAGTACAGGCCCCAGCATTCACCGTCCCCTTCTCGGACACAGAACGACGTCTTCGTCGCACATACCCAACATGCGCCACTGCACTTCCTCCCGGCTATCCTTCGCCCATTCTGGCTAGGCCTCTACATCTTCTTGTGTCTTCTAATGCTTGCAGCCTTGATCTTTTCCGCCGTCTACTCTAACCGCAACGATGGCAACGGCCTGTGGGACTACAACGCATTTGGCGACAACCGCTACTTTGTCTTCGAATACCTCCCAACCCTCCTAGGAATGCTCCTACTTCTATGGCTCATCCAAATCCAGACCGCTACCCAGCGCCTCATACCTTTCATCTCCATGGCTTCGGACTCTTTCCACATGCGCTCTGAGGCTGTCTTCCTCCGACTGTACCCGATGCAGTTCGTATGGCCCAACTTTGAGCATTTCCGCGCCGGACACCCCGGTGTCGGTGTTTTCTTCTTCGTGTCATGGCTGTTTACTTGGACGATACCCCTTCTTGCTTCCGCCTACAACGTACGATATGACGTGGGCCGCAGTGTCTGGCGATGGGTAGCCGTTCAGGGCGTTGTCTGGACCGTCGTTGTCCTTTACATCCTGTTAATTGCCGTACTGATCTACATGCTGCTCTTCCTGACCCGCAACCCGACTGGCCTGAAATGGGACCCTCGATCTCTCGCCGATATCATCTCGCTTCTTGAGCGCTCGAACAACCTCACGGATTACAACAACTCTGAGACATTTGAAAAGGGCGACTGGCACCTGGTTAGCAACCGCGCAGACCGCATTGGATATTGGACGACTACAACGAGGCCTAGCGACGTCTTCTACGGTATCGGCGAAGAGGGTGCTGGAATCCGGAGGTTCTCAGTCCAAGAGGGACGTATCACTGAGAAGGGAGCTGAGCGCACCAACCTCGACCCCCAGGGCAACGACTTCACGATCCGCACCGACATTCGCAATCCCAGCGTCCGACTACGATTTCTCCCGTGGTACCTGAAGGACACTTCAGTCATCGCATGGATTGTCATTGCCGCTGTATTGCTGGTCGCTTTCTTTGTTGTCAGCTTTGTCAACAGCGCCGTCCGCCTTGGATTCCTGCCCCAAGTATTCGCTCGCACTGGCGCAGACGGCTTCTCCGCGTCAAACTTCCTCTACTCCTTCATTCCGGCTCTGATTGCCAACTTCCTCTTCTTGGCTTTATTGTCTCTGGACTACTCTCTCCGGGTGCTTCAGCCCTACATGGCGCTCTCCTCCAAAGGCGGAGCTACCGCTGAGGCCTCTCTTCTGGTCGACTATGCCTGCCGCCTACCTCTTTCCGCCACCTTGGCAGCACTCGAGAACAAACATTGGCAAACAGCTATCCTGTCCTTCGTCTCGTTGACATCCAGCACCTTGCCCATCCTCGCTGGAGGCTGCTTCTGGACGCAATACTACGGCAATGACGACGTCGTCCGTGTCGCAGCCGAGCTCGCAGGATACTACGCCCTCTGCTTCTTCCTCGCCCTCTACGGCGTCAGCCTCCTCGCTCTCATTCCAGGCCGCCGCCGAGCCGCCCTTCCCCACCGCAGCAACACGCTCTCCGAGATCATCAGCTGGGTCTACCAATCCCCCATCCTCGCCGACCGCGCCTTCTCCCGTCCCCAAACGAAGCCCGAGCTCGTCGCAAGGCTAATGGGAAGCACCTACGCGGAGCGCACATGGGCCCGATCCGCCCTCTCGCTCGTCCGTCCTTCCCGCAACAACCTGCGCAGCGAGCCAGCTGCGGAGCCCGCCCTAGGTGACAAGAAGACTAGGAAGGAACGCAAGAACGAGAAGCACAACTCCTACACTGATCCAGACAAGATTCATTATGGCTTCGGTATCCACGTCGGACGCGATGGTCTCGAGCACCTCGGCATCGAC